ATATTCTAACTATTATTCTAACTATTTATATAGGCAAATAAAGTTAGATTTTGCGACAAGTTAGAACATGCATTTACCTTAGTCTCTGGTAAAGATTTGTCCATACTTATCATATCTTCTGAATTAGAGGTATGAGATGATTCAGTAGGTATTCTTACCTCAATATTTGATATGTCTTTTGAGCTAGATGGTTTAGTCACATGTGCGTTACAATTTGTAACGCTGATTATTTCTTGATATTTAATGGAAAAATCATCTACATTCGAATTTTTAGGAAAATAGTTTATAATATCTTGAATCTGATTGTCAGTTAGACTCAAAATTGCACTGCACTATATGTTATTGCTTGAACTTTTTCTATTTCTATTCTTATAAGTAACATATAAATTTTTTTCGCTCTGAATATTTTTTGACGCAAATTTACATCACTGACATCTGGGAGAAGTGTTTTTATCTTATTATATACCAATGTCCTTGCTGATTAGTCATTAATTTTATTTATACATTTAATGTCCTTAACTCGATCCTCATATGCTTTATAGTAGCAATACTAGCATAAAATCTCTTTTTGTCTAACTTTCATTGCTATAATAAACAAATTGGCTATATTTTGTGCTATAATTTTGCTAGATCTTGTTACGATTGCTTCTAGTAGAATTTGGAAATTTGTATATCAAATACTTCATTAACTTTATTATTATTATCTTTAATGAACAAAGATAAGTTACGCTTTAAGTCTTGCTCGACTCTTTTATTATATGGAATTTTTATTTCAGTATTTTGTGCTTGATCGATAACTGGATTTACCTTATTTTGTATATCAGAAGCATTTTGCACTAATCCTTGACTCAGAAGTTTCTTTTTTTGATTTCCTTCTCTTATTTTATTACTGTTTTCTTTATGTATCTGATCTAGAAATTCTTTGATCTCTTTATCTTCTGAAGATTTAGTTTTTATGCAAATTGATACAGAGCATTAAGTCACTGTTTCCTGACATACATCAGGATTTGAAGCATTATTAGATACATTTTTAGATATATCTGAAAAAGCACTATCAGGTTCATCAGAATTTGATATATTATTAGTTATATCAGATGCGGAAGTATTACCATATCATGAGTCTATTTGTTTAAGGTTAACCTCAGAGTTCATTTTACAGAAAGCATTGATATTAGCCGAATATTGTTCTTTTGGGATGAGTATACTTATCTGTTTAATTTTCTTAATATCATCACCCAATTTAGCAATATATTTTTTATTATCATTATGTATTTGAATTTGTTCCAATTTTATGACTCTATCTTTAAGCTTAATATTTTCAGCAATGAGGTTGGCAGTATCTGCTTTATTTTTCTTTTCTAGCTTTTCGAATCGGATCTTAAGTACCGCATATTCTTCCAAAAATTGTTTTAATTTTATATTTTTGGTTTCAACCTCTGTGAACTTTTTTCTAAGTTCATCAATCTGAAGAACAAGTCTGGAATTTAATTCTCTTAATGATTCTATTTTAGGTTGCGTATTCATCATTGTTTTTATTTAAGATATGAGTATATTCAATTTATTATAGAGATAAAAGTCATGTATGCATTACAATTTGTAATACTGATGTCAAAAAAAATTATCTCTTAATCATATATAAATTAATGTATATCAATAACAATATAATAAAATAAATTCTCAAAATACATATGCAAAAGTGAACATGATTATATATACAAAGAAATCAGCTATCAGGGCAAGCTTTATTGATATGATAGAAAAATAAAATAATTATTCCTATTACTAATATACTAATAATATTTTTTCTAACCCTGCTTTTATAATAAAGTTTTGTAATTTTACTATATAAATTTAAGCTAGTTACTCAGTTTTGATCTTTTCTAGTCAATTATCATTTGCAAACCACTAAAATTTTAAAATTTGTTAAGATATATTACTAAAAAACAAAAAAACATATATCAATCTATTATAATCACTTCTCTAAACATATCTTTTACCCAATTAAGAGCAACTGAAGTGGTTGGTCATTTATTTGGATTACTTTTGCACAAATCTGTGCTGAAACTTGAAAGTTTTGAAAGAATACTTGTGACATTACATGAACCAATTAAATTTCCAATGCCCATATATCAACCTTAAAATCATGCTTTTTATTTAGCATTTCAGAAGCATGATCGCTTTCAGAAAATTCTTCTAAAGGCTCATCAGAAGGGAAAAAGTCAGCATAGTCAAAGTTGATTAAAATAAATCTTTGATATTCTTCATAATAATGAATAATGTTTAGCTATCGAACATCTCTGTGCATTATCGGTTTGGGCTTACTTTTGTGTATACACTGTTTGAATATTTAAAAATGTATAAAAATAATATATACATAATAGTAAAAATATCACAAACTTTACCTTTAAACAAGTTAGTATACAAATTAATGCTTGCAGTAATTCTTTAAGATCATTTGGTACTCGTTGTTCCCACATAGCACCAAATTAACTAAATGTGTAAATGCATGTTCTAACTTGTCGCAAAATCTAACTTTATTTGCCTATATAAATAGTTAGAATAATAGTTAGAATAT